TCTACTACGTCCTTCTTCTTCGTCGTTCGTTGTCTACTAACCTACGTACCCCGAACTACTCTCTCTCTCCTCCCTCCCTCCTCTCTCTCTCCTCCTCCTCCTCTCTCTCTCTCTCTCTCTCTCTCTTCATACATTTGCATCCTTCCAACTAAAAACCCAAACCTCTGCCCTCAACAATAACCAATGCAAGGAAAAATAACATCCACCCAACCCCCATCTTCTTCATCTTCTTCAACAGAACCCCTCCTCCTTCCTCCTTTTGCTGAAACACGAGCAAATCGACCTCCAATTCTAAATCCATACCCACTCCCAATCCCAATCCAATCCCAACCCAATAAGCCCGTAATCCCTAAACTAGAAATCTCTCTCTAATCCTCCCTTCCAATTGTAGAAAAAGAAAGGGAAGGGTGAAGCCCCCATCGAGAGAGAGAGAGAGAGAGAAAGAGGTCCTAAGCATATTAATTTACATAATAATATTATGAAAAAAAATTGGAGCCCTAACATTTCTCTCTCATTTTCAAGTTTTTTTAATAATCTTGTTGCCCTTTAAGCCAAACTGACCAAGATGGAAATGCCCTAGCTCATGGCCAAGTCAAGAATCGAGCCTAGCTCTTTAAAAAATGTCAATAAGCCACGACAATGACTTTAGGTTGAGAAGAATGAAGAGCCTAAAATGCAACTTCCAACAAAATTAGAAACCCAAGTAAATGAGATCTTAAGCACATTAACAAGCCTCTCAAGATTGCAAATAAGACGGTATCTTTACAAACATCATCATCATCATCATTATCATAGCCTTGTTCCAATTAATTGAGGTCGGCCACACGAATCCTACTCCATCATATTGCCCTATTAAAGGTCATACCCTCAGTGAGGCCATAAGTCCCCATATCTTTTCGGACAACTACCAACTACATCTTTTTGAGCCGACCCGTGTAGGTTCTGGGAATGCCCTAGCATAAACAGATATTGTTGGTTCATGATTCATAATACGTTTTGACAAAATTTCATGTCGGCTGCCTACCTAACACAACCCAGCCCTTTTACTCGGGCATGGGATGGGTTAAGGGAAAGTTTAAGGTCATCACCTTTCTTAGACCAAGTATCTTGACAAACACATCAAAGTAAAATAAAAGAGTGTGCTATCACCTAATTTGCGTACATGGTAAAAGCATTACATCAAGAATAAGCAATTCTAACATCTTCAATAAATAGTTTGCATAAATCTTTTTTACGCAACACAAGCACATACATTTGCTCCAAGGATGGTTGCTTTCATTTCGATCTTGGGCACATTCCAAAAATGAAATATTTTATTCTACTATTGTTAATCTCTTTTAAAAGCACTCCAAACATCCAATTTATGGAAAAAGTAGTACATGTGACAAATCCATGAATGACGATAGAATGGTCCTAACTACCAGCCTGAAGAAACTTCATACAAAGACCACAACAAACGCATTTCCTAATATGGAAAACAAGAAATTAAAGGATAAAAACATTAGATAAATAAATAATAACCTTAAACAAATCAACCAAAGCAATTACTGATGCAGAGAGCCAAATCATCACCTTAAATTTCAGAGGTTTGACTAGTTGGAAAACCACTGCATCCCCATCATTTAATTCATGGTCAATTGCAAATCCTCTCCATCCAGCACTTAATCCAGTCTTCTGAGCAAGAAAGTTTGTCTGGAATTCATTGCAATCTTCATCTTCCAAAGTAATTATAGCATCATTTTTTGGCAGGTTGGACTTACAAAAGCCCACAGGAAGTCCCTGTTCACATACTTTGGCAATCATAAAGACATTCCAATCTCTGCAGTACAGTAGTATTCCATAAAAATAGAGGAAACCAGAAAAAAAGTATGCATGTGTGCAACTGTGTATATAAGGATATATCCATAAACAAATAAAGAAGATATATAGACACATATGCAAACACATACGACATGTATGAACACAAGTATTACGTGTGCACGTGGATGTGTATGATTGAGTGTGTCTATGTATAAGCATAGATTTGTGTGTTGGGTGTGGAGAGTACAGGTCATGGAATCTATTGCATGTGTGAGACTACAGACACGTGGGAATATATAACTAATAACCTCACAAATAAGAAAAATAAACCTTGTGAGGGATGTCAAAGGTGATGGACACAAGAACTTCGTGTAGTGTTTACACTTACAAGCCAAAAGCCAACTTTGACATGCGAGTGAAGCATAGGTTTCACAAAACTAGGGTAGATAGGTTCCAAATTTGACTGTAGGACTTCGGCTCTTTCTATAGCTTTTGTCCTAGCTCCATCCGATATATGGCTTCGATCTAACAATGCCCTCCTCTTGTAGATCCTACCAGAATAACCATAAATAACATTAGAACACGTGAAACCAGCAAGCTAATGCAAAGTATGTGAAAGAAGCATGCATTGCATAGATACACAGACTAACCTTCGTGGCATCTCCATATATTCATATTTTACCTGTAAATAATTACCTTTTATCAGTCTACAAAAGTTTGGATCGATATGTTATCCACTTAAGATCTTTAAAAAAAAAAAAAAGTCCAAATAATACCACAAATGTATGAGATATATTGTGGAATTTTCTTGCAACCAGACCGGCACATCCCAACCCGTGGCTTGGTAGGTTGGTCCAAATAAAAGACCGGTTTAGTCGATAACCAATCAAAATCAATGTTTGACTGATTTCTCTCCTCCGGTCCGTCAAGACAGGTTTAATCAATAACATATCAAAATCAATGTTTGTCTGATTTCTCTCCGGTCCGTCAACTCTACATTCAACTTAAGTTACCATAGAAAAATTAACTTTACATTCATCTTCAAACATCAGATCATGCAAAAACTACTCAATAAAAAGTAATCGAGCCATATATGGTAGACTTCTTCCAGCTAGATTGTGCTTGCTTTGGTGTGGCCTGCTGTTCCAACAACAGTTCCATTAAAAAGATGAATAACAGTTTAAGTTGCTATCGACATGACAGGAATTCTTGCCATCTTTCACTACTTCTTTGCATGCTAACATCATATTTACATTAAAGGAAAAAGCAGTTAGAGACGTCAAGGTTTGCTTCTTCTAGGATCACTTGCCAAATCTTTTTAAAGGCATGATTCAAAATCTGGGTTTAACTGCAAAAAGGAAAACAATGATTAAAAAGGGGAAATGGACAAGAACAACGTTCTGAACCAATGTAAAAATATATTACTTCTTTACTAGATTTCGAAACATTTCACAAATAACAGCCTTATTTCTGATGTTTTAAAAATAACAGCAGCTATGGACATTGTATAACATTTTTCTACGATTACAAACAGAAACCTGATATCACAATCATGCTTCCTTGTACTGAATCTTTTATTGCCACCCATCTATTGTTTTTATATATTGTAACAGGATGCATCTGCTAGTGACGTAAAAGCAGTTATTTTCATGTAAGAACCTTTTTTTAGCGAAAAATTAAGCTCCTATGACCGTTATTTCAATGTAATAGCCATTTTTAACCATAGAATCCATTCATTTATCCGACATTGGCACAAAACACCACTTGTCAAAACAAAAGGAAAAAATATCCACAATTTCCTTAAATAGGGGGCCAAAAAGGGGTAATAAGAAACGGAAAAGTATACTGTAAGATCAATTACCTTTGTTACAAGCAGCTCGAAATCACTATTTGCCGTTGGATGTGAAATTGGCGCGGCTAGGGGCATACCATCAATGGCTGAAAGTTGCAAGAGAAAAATATTTCAACATTGTGACATACCCCAAGCTGTCGGATTTCACTGCTAAAAGTGATTGTGACCTCCTTTTACCAAAGATAAATGGTCCTCTAGTATACCACCCCGAAAGATAAATTGTCTTCTAGCAAACAATCCCATGAAAAATACCATGTCTAAAATAGTAAAGTGTTCGAGCAAGAAGATTCTTACCTCTTTATAACTTGCAGCTGGCATGGCTGCAACCCTTGATGACCTCCTTACTTCTACAAGTCCCATATCGATCCTCGGGGTCTTGGGCTTGCAGTACTTAGACTGAAAAACAGAAGAACAAAACACGAAGTAAAGAAAAATGCACATCCATTGGTAATAAAAATGAGCAAGAAAAAATGATTTCGAGACAACGAACGGGCGATGGCTTGGGGCAAGATTTTTTCAGGGTTTGAGAGAGTGCAGCAAGATTGAGCTCTTGCATTCGCCTCCTATTCTCCTCCAACCTTTGCTTCCGGAACTCCTCATACGCAGGTTCAACAGCAGCCATGGCTGAATCAAAACCCTATCTTCATCATAAAAGAACTCATAAATATGCTAAAATAGGCCATTAGGACCCTAGTTTTTCAGATAAGAAAGGTCATGGAACTCAAAAAATGCCCACCTTCACTGTGATGAATGACTACTCGAGCTTGCAAACAGAAGAAATCAACAAAAGAGAGCCGTGAGAACCTCTGAAAAAGCTTGGAATCCGACCGTTTAAAACCCCAAAAAAATTGAGCTCTCTCGCTGCTAGGATTTGAATTTGTACGGCTACTGTGGTGGAGAGACAAGCGCGAAAAACAGAGCGAATTCAAAATATTGCCTCTCTCGAGTGACACGTGTAGCGCATTACTACCTGTGTTTTGCCAAAAGATTTCGTACTATCGCATGCACATACTGTTCATTATTTATAAGGTAAAACTCTACCGAGGAGTACTTTAAATGCCTTGATATTCGGAGTGTCAAAAATTCTTAAGATGGCCTTGCATTCCATTTTCATTTCTGATTATAAGTTTTTAAACTTCAAAATTCATTCAAATCAAGTGGATCTATAAACACATAAAAATCTAAAAAATGGACAATAAAGATAATGTGTTGCAATATGCTCTGTTTTTGGAAATTGAAATATGTTTTTTTTTTTTTTCACATATACATCTTGATGTGGATATGGGCAATTAGAGGGCTTTCCAACATTAAAACATTCTTTTATGATGGATTTTTGGGTTCATTTAAATTCTACATGTTAAGGGTGTGATCTTATATAAACCTTATCCTTAAAATAATCATAGGGTCATTATTGAGTGGATCCCAAAATTTACAATTTTCACCCTAGGGAATGTATATGACACGATCTTGAAGCAAAGTTCGCAAAATCGAGTCGGAACGGTTCCCGAACATGGGCCTGGAAGCAGGTTAACCGCCTTAACTGGTAAATCGGAGCAATTCAACTGTTCTAATTTGGCAAGTCCCAGGTGGTAAAAAAAGCATTGAAAAAAATAAAGAAGATAAAAAAGATGTACTAAAATATTCAAATCATATCAATAATGACTAAAACAAAGCATATTCAAATGAAGTTAAAAATTAATAAAAAAAATGAATTTTAATGAATAGATTTGTTCTTAGGGGTATTTTTAATTTTTTTTTTAAATGATGAGACAATATAAAAGTAAGTATTATTGATAAAAACAATTTTTAATTTTTACCATGATGTAACGAATATTAAAAAATACCTTACAAAGCAAATTTCTTATTTTTTAGAATTTATATATATTTTTATTTATTTTTTAAATATTGATTGATCACTAAAACCGCCCAAAAACATAACTGGTCAGCAGCTAGTCCTAATTTAACAGGGTGGTTATCAGTTAGATTGTCCAGTTTGTCTAACAATGTCTTGAAGCACTATATAAATGATCATGTTTCCTAGTGAGGAAAAGTTTGGCAGCTAGTCCTAATTTAACAGGGTGGTTATCAGTTAGATTGTCCAGTTTGTCTAACAATGTCTTGAAGCACTATATAAATGATCATGTTTCCTAGTGAGGAAAAGTTCGGTGTGGGCCTTTGGCTTCGATCATCCAAAGATAAAAAGGATGAAGCTTTTATAGGGCCTAGCCTTTATGAAAATAAAATAAAAGCTTATGGAAAGCATTTGCAGCAATGAAAATCTCCACGGTGGATCTAAATCAATTTTCAACGTTGAAAATAAAATTCGAAACTTAAAAAATAGTACAAATCTTGTAAATTTATGAACAATTAAATTTTGGGTGAAATGGACGATTTAGATAATTTGTTACAATACACATGATTTTAAAGCTTCAAATACTATTTTTATTTACCAACTAATATGTTCAAGCAAAGAGGATCGATGTAAAAATTTTCCAATGTTTAAATTGTAATTTTTGATGTATTACAAGGTGAGGCTTTATTTTATTTTGATAGGGCTGCACTGCATCAAGCTATTTTCTCCACTAAATAGAATGCAACCCAACTTCAATAAATAGGGCTGCAACCCTATAAAAACCAGATCCAAAAAAATATGGGAGAAGTTTATGTACAGCTGAGGTTCTAAACGAATCAAATTAGAGCCAACCTCGAAAGTTCAACTATAAGAGGTTGTTTTGATGTCTAAATATTTTTAAACTAATCATCTTGATATCAAGTTGCATGTATATGAGAAAAAAATGGATTCCAAAATTTGGAATTTATGTATCTTGTAACGTATTTTTTTTTACTATCAATTTTTAATTTTTCATAGATTACACTTTTTTTTAAGCTTTAAATTTTATCGTTAAGGATGAAAATATATTTTAAGGATATCACAAATATTTTTAATATTGAAACCATATTTCTGGATGCTATTTGAAGGTGCGTTTTACTTTAATTGTTTAGAGCCTCGGCTATATACAGACCGCACCTAAAAAATATCGACGTATAGAATGGCTGAAAAATTTTAGTTCCCGTGAGAGTGTGTTATACGCTCTATTTCACTTGCACAAGCCGTAAAATTTTGACATTTTTTAGCAGCAGCTGTTTAGTACTCTCTCTAAAATGGTGGGTTGAGCTTTCTGCAACTATGCCTGTGGCATTTTCCTTTCATTTATCTGTAACAAAAGTGCCAAATGAAGATGGAGGAAGGAGCCAAGAAAGAAGAAACCGGGGAGCTCAAAGAGTTTTTTTCAAATGGACTTTATCATCTTCCCAAATCGCGTGCACTTGTCATGGATCCAGTTCGAGTCCTCAACGCCTTCTACACCAATTTTAGGGTTTCCCCTTCCATGTACTACTGCCGTTCCTTCGAATCGATCAGCCATGGAGAAAAACCAGTCTCTGAAAGTCGAAGGAAAAGGAAGAGAAAGAGGAGGCCCTATGCTCTCAATGAAAGGGAACTCGCTGCTGAAATGAGACACCAGGTATTAAGTTATTTTTTCATTTTGTTTTCTATTCATGTTATGAATTTTATTTTTGTGAAGAGGCAGTTCTATTCGTTTGTTTTAGTGGGTTGAAGCCTAATTATTCCCTAGATTCAGTGGATGTGAAGTTATTGGTATGAGCTTAATGAACCCTAAAATTCGTGGAGAATTTATGGGTTTTTGAGGAAATGAAGCATGGCTCTGTTTTATTGAAATCTCATTTTCTTATTCAATTCCATGTCTTTGATGCACTTTGCATGGACTTATGCACTTGCATATCATTCTTTTGATTTGAAAGCTATGTGCTTGCTTTATTTGCGTTTGTTCCATTATCTCAATTCTGAGTCATTATTTGCACTCATGTATGTACTTGTGTATATGTATATTCATATTGGATGAAGCTGTTAATTACGTTTTACGCAACTTTTTTGTCTCGATTTTAAATGCTATGTGTTTGATTTAATTGTGCTTGTTCAATTATCTCGACGGTTCTAGTTTAAACACCTATTTTTTTTAGTGAGTCCCCATGTCATTGGAAAATAGAGGGGTGGCAACGGGTTGGGTCCGGCCGTTGGACGCGACCCAAAATAAATAAAAAATATATTTAACATATGTTAGATATATACATGTATTATTTAATATTTACATAGTATAACTAAAAAAATATTGTTATATTTATTTAAATATTAATATCTAGTTCTATTTATTTAAATAATAATTAAACATTATTAAAATATCATATATTAAATATTATTTATATAATAACTCTATTCGGGTTGGGTCCGGGTCAGGTCCACATGGAACTGAAACCGGACCTAGACTAGGACCCGAATAGTGTTCAGGTCCAATACGGGTCCGGGTCCATTGCCACTCCTAACTATGACAACCAGTTTTTGGGTGGCAGAAAAATAGCAGTGGTTATATTTCTAAATATGTGGACGGCCTACCTTCATGTATAAGTACCTTCTTATGTACTTATATATGCGTACATAATGTATATGTATTTATGTGTGTATGAAATACTATTGTTTTTAGACTGTTTATATTACTTTTTTGTTGGATTTTATAGTGGTCTCTCAAAATGTGGCAGGAGGCAAGACCTTTCTTGTTGGATGCCCATAAAGCTCTTTTAGAAGAAATTGATTTTATGAGCATACTTCCCAGTCTCAAAAGAAATGGATGTCCTACTAATGGAATTGAAAGCTTGTCAAATGCTGAACAAGTTACGGAACCATCTTTTGTTGAGCTTGGGCACCTTTGGCAAGCTCCTTATTACGAGATATCTCTTCGTTTCCGTGACCAAAGTACGCCATCTGAAGGTTGGTTTGTTAATATGCTATTCTTTCTCTATTCTGAAATGCATGTCTGTGACTGATTGATAGTTATGTGGTTTGTTTGCTGTAAATGCTTATCTTAGAAATGTTATATCTTTTAGTTGTTGTATCAGTTACAAGCTCTGACCAGTTGAAGTTTGAATAGGACTTTCAAAATTCAACCAATGTTTATATATGAAGAAGAAGAACTGCCTCGTGAATTCCCATACAAAGATGCATGTGCCCTTTTTGGTCTAATGGACTTTTGACAAGCCATCCTTTCCGCTTTCCCTTTCCCTTTCCCTTTCCCCCATCGCCGTTACCTAAACCCACCCCCTCTCCCAGGTCTTGCCCCAAAGAAAAAGAAAAAATATAAGAGGCTTTCATGGGAAACTAGAAAATCGTTTCGGTCTTCCTGGGTAGTCTTGTTTCAGAACAGTTCAGTGGTAAACATGGCAGGAAATATGAATTTTATACTAAGGATGAGTAATACATTTACTAAGCATTCTAGTGATTGATTGATGGAGTCTGATAATCATACATAACCCACATTTACTAAGCGTTCTAGTGATTGATTGATGGAGTCTCATAATCATCCATAACCGGGACCATGTACTAAGCATAATATCTTAAGTTTACTAGAATAAATCCGTACTGATAATCTAAAAAGTCTTTAAAACCAAGTTACAAGTCTGATCATTGTCCAAGTTTACGGTAGGTTGACCTTAAATGATTGGCAGAGTTTTTTTTCTAAAATGTGAACTGAGATGCACTTGGCATTGCACATAAATGGAGGACATTATTTTTGGTTTTATCAGGAACAACATTTTTAGATGGATTTTTTAGGTGAATCGTACTTAAACATTATAAAGTTGAGACAAACTTTTCCCTATGGAATAGATGCAGTAATGGGTGTCTCTAAAAGAACCGATTCATTAACTATTATCGAAATGATGGTTATTTCTTTCTAAAATAATTCGGACTCTAAATTAATGTCTGATCATCAATCACCCAAACACTGATAAGAAGAAATACAAGAAAAACAATTTCTACTGATCATAGACCCAAAAAAAACAAGTCAATGGTAAAAAGAAAAAAAAAAATTACTAACAAACAAGTTGATGGAAATATGACGTCTACTAACCTTGAGCAGTTCACTATAGTAAGATTTTCAAAGTGACTCTCGACGGGTCTATTTTTGGTTTTTTTGCGATGTGTTCCGCTCCAAAATCAACATTAATCGTGTTTTCTTTCCAATTGTAGAACCAGTTTGCAGAATCAACCCCTTGAACCATGATTAAACTCCAGAAAATACTTCAAAAGTTCTCTCTTCTCTTATCTCCACAAGTTAAAAGAAACACAAAGGACTCTTTTACAGCTCGGTTAAACAAGAAGAAGCAAGAAAACCAGATAGAGGAGGGAGGAGAGAGAGATATATATTTTGGATTTTCTCTTACAACAGAGAATAGAGCTTGTAAAGAAAAAGAGAAAAGAGGAGAGAGATGGACAAAGAGGAGAGATAGATATATACGTAGAAAGAAAGAATGTTAATACAATCTCATTTCTTGAAATCATGGTGATTAATTTGAAATGTGCATTAAAGATTCTTTAAATTCAAGAGACTTGATATATATATTTAGATATCAGGGTGAGGAGCTTAAACTTTCCCGTACTGTTCCAATCCCTGGTAAAGAGGGTGCGTTGTATTAGGTAGGCAGCCAACATAAAATTGTGCCAAAACATCTCATGAATTTGGAATAGGCTAAAAAAGGACAAGGGGTAGGACCAAAAGAACTTTGTTGGAAGTAGTGAGAAAGATATGGGAATTTATGACCTCACTGAGGGTATGATCTTTAATAGAGCAGAATGATGGATCAGAATTCATGTAGCCGACACCAATTAGTTGAGAAAGTACTTTGATGATATATATATATATATATATATATATATATAGTCCCTTCCTCCCCCCTCCCTCTCTTTCTTTCTCGCTTTGTGTGCGTGTGCGTGTGTGTGTGCTTGTGCGCGTGCATATGTGTTTATGTGATCCTATTTAACTAGAATGAAGCCTTTGATATGTATGAAATGTTGGTTTTATTGTGAAATATTGGCTTTAATCAAATAGTGATTGTGACAGATTTCACAGGTGCGGAGCCCATTCAGTATTGCAAGGAAGTTTCTATGTCGCTATTTAACAATTTAGTCTCAAATTGGACAGATGATGATATGAAGGCACAATTTCTTGACAACTTATATATACTGCCTAGAAAATGCAGGTTCCACATGGTAGGAAAATTAAATCTCTCCCTTCTCTCATCAATTTGTCAATGTCAATAAAACATCTGAAAAAAGACCAGTGAGAAATTGAAGCATAATCCTAAGGAGTATTTCCTTGGTCATCTATAATCCACAATATCCAATTCACTGTATCTTCTTGATACATTGGAAGAATGTGTTTTTCACACCATTTTTGTTGGGTTCTACCTCATTGTCTAGTGGTATGAGCTCTTCCTTTTTTATTATTAAATCAACTATTGTACAGACAGAAGTAAAAGTACAAATGTATAGCGGTACACACAGGCATAGAGTATGTGTATTTTGGGATTTTACCCTGTTGGCCAGTTTTGTGGGGCTTATTTGTCTGAAATGCTAGGTTTTGAGTCCTTTTTACATATCAAAACAAAATAGAATAAGGTTTATGGAATTATTTTCTTGTAATATTACACTTTCTAAAACTCGAGAAAATATCGAATTAACATTTTTCTGTGGACTTTTTCCTTGTGCAAGTCTGACTTGAGACAAATCCATCATCTGATTCCAGGTAACTCTCCATTTTTGTTTCTTGATCACATGTTCAGAAAATATTGGCCTGTGTGCTTTCTGATTTTTTATAGTAGACACTGTTATTTCATTGGTTTTATGTATTTCTTCCAACTCTTTGGCTTTTCTTACATATTACTCTGTTTAACTGATGGTAGTCTAGCCTGGAAAACCTGTACTTCAGTTTTTGTAGTTGTTGAATGTTGGCCACAGGCTAATTTTTCGTCTTTTTCCTTTTGACTCCCATTAGCAATAATTTGACTTGATTTCTCTCTCTTTCAATATAAACAGCTTTTTTTATGCTAGTTAAGATTATAATGATTTACTTTTAGGCAGATCACAAAATACTTCAGTAAATGCCAAGCATTCTTTTGAACTGATTTATTGTGCATCACACTGTTTTGCAGCTTCTTCAGATGATGGGTTCAACCTAATAGTCATTGATCCGCCATGGGAAAATCGAAATGTGCACACCAAATCAGTGCAAGTACTCAATTCTCTGTTTGGATGGTTTGTTATACAAATGGGTGTGGTCTTTTCCCCATTTGCCCTTACACCGCTTTCTGAACTTTATATATTAGGATTCTGATTAATAAAGAATATTCTCATACATAAGTGTTTGGACTTTCTTACATGCAGCATATAGTGAAGTTCTTTAAATTGTCTTGTATTTCTGTCAATGTTGCATTGGCCAAATTGTTCATCTGATGAAAACATGATCAGTTTGTCTTATCTGTTTCATTTTCCTGTTCTGACCAGTCAAGCAAAAAGAAGAAAGACTAAACAAAAAATAATATTTGATGTACTGCCAAATAATTTTTGTACAAACTTACAGCTCCTCTGATATGTCTGTATTAGATTCTGGCTTATTACATTCAAGTTGGTTATTTTGTGTTTCATGCCAATTTTGGTTTGAGTCATATAATGCAGATTACATTTAACAACTCATATCTATGCCAGATATCCAACCTTGCCCAATCGGTATTTATTGTCTCTTCCAGTAAAGAAGCTTGCTCATTCGGAAGGAGCACTTGTTGCTTTGTGGGTGACGAATAGGGAGAAACTACGAGTGTTCGTTGAAAAAGAGCTCCTCCCTGCTTGGGGGGTAAATCAAGAAACCATTTTTTACTGGCTAAAGGTTGTTCATTTCTTCGCCTTCTATACTTTAATGGCTGCAATGAAATAATTCCTAGGAAAGTGTGATACAATCCAATGTACTGTGGAAAACCATTTTACATTGCAGTCATCATTGTCTAATAATGTGACGCATGTTTTTTTTTTTCCCTTTCGATGGATGAGTTTTTGTATCGATATGTGTAATGATTTACATATGCCACTTGTGGGCTACAAAAATGGGTCAGCATATTATTTACAGAAAAATTAGCTTGCCAAAAACATATAGTTAAGAGTTAGGATCTATATATGCAGAGCTCCAGCCTAGCTGCCCCTTCTTTGGCCAAAGAATCCATCATGGCATTTTCCTCCTGCCATGTATGCTTGAATGTGACTTCTGTTGGTATATAAAGCTCAGAAATCTTGTTGAATACATGTTTAGGCATCATGGGCAGGGGGAACATTTATTCATCCAGTTGATGACATTTAGTTAGTCACCTTTGATCAACAAAACCGTACTCGAATTCCTTTCGAACTATTTGAGACCTGTGAATGGTGCATCTGCTTCAGCCAAGCTTTCAACCGAGAAATCCTTGGACCCAAACGGATGAAAGTAAAGCACCTGTGAGATTTCTAAATTCTTAACTTCTAAAGACACCTCCAACACTGGCCATACCAGTGTCTCCCACCAAGCACCCATCAAAATGGAGCTTGGTGACTCCGGTTTCAGGTGATTCAGGTGGTGGCGAATGCAAGAATCTAGACTGTCATTGGATTGGACCAAATGATGTACTTCCAAAGTTCCAATTGTGGTGGAGGATGACCGAGGAGAAGGAGCTCAGCTGTTTTTGGTTCAGGGCCCAGAAAATGGTTGTGGATTCAGGGCAACCCCTGAATAGCTCTATGTTGCTTTCTTTGCCCTCGAAAATGCTCTTGTTTCTTTTAAGCCAAATGGACCCAATCGTGGTGAAACAATAGATACATCGTAGCAAGCCTGTGGAAGGTAAAGGGGGCAATAAGAAAGAAAAAGGTGGGAGGCCCAAGCTTATGTAGCCCAGTTATATCCAAAGAAATCTAGGATTGAGGACTAGACTTGTAAAGTGAAGTTGTAGTGTATGAACGGGTGGAGGATATACTTGTGCATGAAAAGTGATGAATGTTGATGTGGAGTGAATGGAACCCACGAAAACAGGATATGACCCCAATGGTGGTCCTGCTCCCTCTCCATCACCTTCCGTCACTTTATTTGATGATGATGGCCCCAATGGGCTTTGGTTTTCTGGAGTCCATTGGATTATGGTATATGAAGAACTGCAGCACAGCGATAAAAAGTATTTGGCCGAAGCTTTCCATAAACGAAATGTCTGAAGCATTCTATGTATTGTTATCCACCCTTTGAGGATTTGTCTATTTTGGGTCATATCCCCTGAACGATTTAGTAACTTTACATTTTTCATGAGGATTTAGTAATTTCTTTCTTGTTCCATGTTGACTAATTGCTTTATACCTTGTAATTGTAGATAAAAGAAGATGGAAGCTTGCTAAGTGATCTAGATCTCATTCATCATAGGCCCTATGAATGCCTTGTTCTGGGTTATACACAAGGAAAGGTATAGTGTCTTTTGTGGATTTTCCTTAATCCTTTTCCTTTGTGCTGCTTTAGCTGTTAAGTTTAAGGTGCAATGTATGGGTCATTGCAGGGTGGTAATTTCTGTGACCAGCAGAAGTATACACCTTTGAAAGGTGATCAAGTTGTCATTAGCATCCCTGGTGATCACTCGAGAAAGCCCCCCATTGGAAGTATCCTAATGTTGACATTTATTTGGGTTCTTTCATTGTTTTGCTGGGTTTCTAAATTCTTTATGGATTGCTTATCGATGTCGATTAACATGTGCAACCGGATTCTCTAGCTTGTCTGTATTATGTAGCAGTAGTACCTGTTCATTGATCATTTTCTCTTTAATTCTCTTGTTTCTTCTGTTTTTCTGTTTAAGTTATGACATTGTGGGAAATATGTGATAATCGGCATATATTGATGAATTTTGTGGCTTTTTCCTTGACCTTCTTAGACCTGCTAACAAATCACGTACCAGGACCGCTGCCTGCAAGGTGTCTTGAGCTTTTTGCTAGAGAGTTGATGGCTGGATGGACTTCTTGGGGCAATGAGCCGCTTCGATTCCAACACTCGAGATTCTTTTTGAGTAAAAAATGCTGAGGAATTATAATGTGCGTGTGTGGGTGAGAGAGAGAGTGAGAGAGAGAGAGAGAGAGGGAATCATTTGTAGATGTGGGGCTTTAGATTAGCATCGTAGTTGCCTATGCTAAATGCAAGAACATAATGTGCATTGCAGAGGGGCTTTGTGATTAAACCTTACTGAGGTAGTTCTCTATCTCTCTATCATCCTTTAATTCCAATTAGCATCTAAGTGGCCTATGTTTAATGCAAGAGCATAATTAGCATCGCAGAGGGGCTTTGTGATTAAATTTTTTGCAGAGGTAGTTCACTCTCTCAATCATCCTTTATTTCATATTGTGGTTCATTTTAGCTCATTGAAGAGAGTGGGAATAGGGTAATCTTTTCATTGTGGTCTTGTCCTCCATTTTTTGTCCGTTGAATGAATCTCTGGAATTATTTATATTAGTTTTTATACGGTTTTGACGATGCCTCTCTAGTGTACCATGTAACACACACCTGTGGGCCAAAACGATAATGCAACCATAGGCACCCATTGTATGCATCATTTTTTTTAGGGGTTATTTTGTCGGCATATTAAGTCAAAAGGGTGGGATATTAGGTCATAGGGATCTGATTAAGGGTATGGCCTATAATAAAGGGAAATGGCGGAACGTGACTTATGTAGCCGAACCATCTAACCTAGATGGTTGGGAGAATGCTTGAATGGTTGCGATGATGATGATGATGGTTTAGTGATAGGGAGGTTAGCTTTAAATAAAGTGTTAATTGTACAGCTTTCTAACTGGCTACTTTTTTTTTTTAAATGGTTTTTTTTTTTTTCTAGAAGTAGGGGAGACATTTTATAAAAACAAAGGTGATATTCCTTAGAAAATTATCATTGATATAAGTACCTTTAGTATCATGATCACTTATCCTCTTATGCCCTTACAAGTGACTCAATACCTTAAAAAACTGATCAAACTTCGAGAGAATAAGGTTGTTTTGAGTAGGGAAAGTATGTAAGGAGATTGGTTTCCTTTGGTACAAAAATGTCATGATCAATCCTAGCTATTATGCTGCTAGGGTTTTATACCATTACTATAAGATTTTGAATATATATATACACCTCTACGTATTTAATTTTGCATTGATGGCTGATTGTGACTTTTGTTATTTACACTCCTTATCTTTTGAAAACCTAGAACTACTCTGGGTATATTTTCTATCTATACCATAAAAATGGATGGAACTTTTAAGCAATGATATTCTCACCTTTCCTTTGGGTGGAAAAGCAAATTATGCACCTGCCAATTGCCGCGGTGGCTAGCCCATGGGCTTTTGGGTAGGGCTCCATTTGGGCTGGGTTCAGGGTTGAGTCCAAGATCAGCAGCTTGGACCATCATTTGTTGGCCTGATACTTTATAGTTTATATGGGTATATTATATGATATATGATCTAAAGTTCATACTTTTTATAATCTGTAGACCATATAACATCTATATATATTTATTTATTTTGAATAATATACTATAAGACCTTTTTACATCTATGTGTGTAAGATTTTAGATGATCACCATTAAATTTTGATACGGATTTTTAAAAAAGTTATTTGTAAACCAATTCATTCAAGTTCTACACTCATGTGATAACTTTTTTAAAGATTTGTGTTAAAATTTAATGGTGATTCTTTAATGTCTTACTCATATGGGTACGAAAGGGTCTTATAGTGTCATTATTCATTTATTTTATAATCATATCATAAGATTTTATACATATGCTTTCCCATATCTCCATTCACTATGAATTTTGGAAAGTTAAATGTAATCATTTAAAAATAATATCTAAATTTATTTTTCTGAAAATAATAAGTAAGTCTCGAGTGTGAGTGGATACCAAAATTTTGAATCAGAAGAACCTTATCTCATAGCCGAGGGAGTAAGTACACAGTATGCTTATGTGGGAGTATTACCCTTAGATTATCCAAGGGGGTAAGTATGCAGTATGCTCCCCCGAGAACCTGGATCCTGTTGGGAGCATACTAGACCGGCAGAGAGGTTCACAGGGAGAAGGAGCGCAAGTTTCGCAGCTAATACATCTATTTTGTCCCTCACGGAGGAAATTTAAGGGAAAAGAAAGAAAATAAATTGGCGGCTTCTCGAACCCTAGAATCTCTCTCTCGCACCAACCGTTGCAACCGAGCCCTCTCCTTCTCTCTCTAAGTCCCTGCTAAATTCTTTCTCTTCCAATATTTTTCTTATTCTTTTTTCCATTGATTCAATTCTTAGGATTAATATATATTGCGGAATGCAAGGCTTCTGTTGACCCTGAAAGCTGAACGTTTGAGGCTCAAGTAACCGCGGAAACAGCCTCAAACGTCAAAAGAGTGAGATTCTGAATCCATTTATTTGTTTTCTTCAAGAGTTGTTTTTTTCGGTTCTTGAACAATCTCCACTTATTTTCATATTACACTTTTAGGAGATGTTTACCATTCATTTATGTCAAATCTTTGCTATAAGCTTCAATATTTCGTATTCACTATTTAGATTTGTTATTTTGCTGATGTTATTTTCTAAAATTAGCTTTTGAAATCGATAATTGGCTCTGATTTTTATTTTATCATTGGAAAACTAAAATTAAATGGCTTGCAAATAGTGGTGAGAATGGTAGAGAAATCTGCAATTTTGTGGACTTTTTTATTTGGAAATTGATTATGTGCAAATTTCGGTCCCGGCCAGGCTCGGGCATCAAAAGTTTAGGGTTTTATACTCTGTGCAAATTAGGGCTTTCTCATTAATCTTGTTCTATAGAAACCAGGATTTCTTGTTTCGGACTTTTGTGAACTGATATGGTTTCTCCTGAGCAGAGATCATGGATGATGGATCATAGATACGAGGGGAAGTTTTCATAGGTCATAGAAGCGATTTGCAGTTAGTGGGTTCAAGAAATTTATCTGGTTGTAGGAAGGGAGAAGGAGATATGGGGATCATAAAGAGCAGCTTCTCGTTCCTTGTGGGCACAATGTGTGGTGTGTATATTGCTCAGAACTACAATGTTCCAAACATCGCAAAACTAATGAACACTGGTATTATCATGGCAAAGCATATTGAAGAAATTTACAGGAAGCCCAAGAAGAGAGATGAAGATTAGTTCTACATAGGGTTCCTTTCTCCCAATTTCTTTTGTTTGGGGATGACGGCTTCAAGTCAATCTGCTTTTTTGCAATAGTGGTCAACACAATGGGTATAAGTATTGCAATTTAGCCTAATTTTGTTTCTCCCCATGATTCTGGATAAAGAAAAAATTGTTTCAGGGGAATTTGGCTTTTTGACCATTTATTGAGAATGTCTTTTTAACATCTAATTTTTTTATCCGTGGAGGTGTTATATATTTTTTGTTTTTCTATTATTCATTGTTTTATTTGGGATTAATTGGATATGATGCTAGTGTGTTTTCTTTTATCATTGTAAATCTGGCGATTTTTTCTAATCACCAGTTTCTGAAACTTGACAAGATTATTGATCTTTTATGTCGATTCTACCATATGTTATGGAAGAACTGGTCGTCAATCCAAGGAAAACCTGCTCACCAACAAAACAGTGTTTGTATTTTTGGAATGATGTTAGTACCAACTATTCCAAATCTTGGGTTAGGTTATTTTATAAATTTGAATGCTTTAATCTTTCCAAACACTAAGTGATGCACTATTGCAATTCTATATCAAGTAGCTGTGTCAATCATGTTAGGATCCTCTAAAAGCTTGTAGTGCACATTTGAAACTGATATGCTGAATTTGTTCCTTGTGTTACTTGATACTATACAATTTGGTTTCGTACTAGATTGCTTGAGAGAAATTTGGAATGTCGTCGTTAAGAAGTGGGAGTAGTAATAGGATTGTTTCTCTCATTGTGAGAATTAAACAATGGGCATGGTCCTTTTTCAGATTATATGAGTATTAAAATCCAAATTATCGCAATCGAAGGTGACAGGAAATCTCATGTTTTGGTATTAAGCAATTCTTTTTTTGATTATTTGACACATTGTATTAAAGTAAGAATCTATAGCTGGCAAAATGCCATAGTTTGTACAAAATTTAGAATGACGCCTCTACTGTATATGAAATGTTGGTTGTAGCTGTGACTATTGCATTTAATCAAAATCTCTTACAAAACTTCACAGGTGCAGCCTGTCCAGCACCGCAAGGAAATTACTATGCCGCTATTTAATAATTTAGTCACCATTAGGACAGTTGATGATAAGAAGGAAAAATTTCTTGACATCTTGTATGCTGCCCTGGAAAAGCAGCTACCACATGGTAGGGGGACATCTCTCTCTCTCTCTCTCTCTTCTCTCTCTCTCTTTCCCCCCCTTCTTGTCATCAATTTGTTGATTTCAATAAACCACCTGAAAAGAGGTCAGTGAGAAATTGAAACAGTCTTTTGTTATCCATAATCTCCACTTTCCAATTCACTGGCTCAATGTTTTAGTTGTGTTCCAGCTATGCTGGAATTATTTTTGTGCTTAACTATTTTTGTTGGATTTTATCTTGTTTTCAACTTGCCAATTGGCATGAGCTGTTCCTTTTTCTCATTCAGTTACAATTCTTGTATGGGGTTCTTTGTCTGAAACATTATGTTTTGAGGTCTATGTTTACCTATCAAAACAAAGTAAATTTCTTTATATGGATTTTTCCTTGTAATATTAGACTTTTAATGCTTCTAAAGGCCTGGAAAAATATAAATTTTATTATTTTTCTGGTAATTTTTTCCTTGGACAAGTCTGAAATCCATCACCTGATTGCGTGTATAAGTCTCATATTTTGTCTCATGACATGTTCAGGAAATATTTGCCTGTTTGCTTCCTGAGTTTTTAAATTAGAAACTGTTTATTTTCATTTGATTATTTTGTTGTTCTCATTGTCATTCCTTGAAATACTTTAATGTTTAAGTCTAGCCTGGAAAGAAACTATCATTTGATTTTGTGTGACTATTGAATGTTGGACTCAGACCGATATTCCAGCCTTTTCCTTTTGACTTCCATTAGCATTAATTTACCTTGAGTTCTCACTCTGTTTTTGTACCAACTCTTTCTTTTGTTGTAATAATTATGATTATTATGACTTCCATTAGCAATAATTGCCTTGAGGCAGACCAAATAATATTTTGGTCAATGCCATGTCTTGTGCTTTCAGTTCTTTGAATTGATTTAAGGTTATGCATGCAAACTATTTGTAAGCTTCTTCATACATTCAACCTATTAGTCTTCGATCTGCCATGGAAAATAGAAATGTTCTCACCAAATCAGTGCAAGTAATTCTCTTATCACATGGCTTGTTATACGAATGGGAGATTGTTTTTTCATCATCTGCCCTTACATAGATTTTTTAATATATCAAGTTATCAACTTTTTTTAAAAACTGATTAATAAGACAAAATTCTGACAGAGTAGTGCTTGGATTTCTTACCTGCAACAAATTGTAAAGTTGTTTTTGGTTTTCTATCGATGTTGCCTTCGCCAAATTGTCTATCTGATGACAACATGACTGTTTCAATTTTCCTGCTCTGACCAGTCAAGCCAAAAGAATAAGCAAGAAATACTCTTTCATGAATTGCCAAAGAATTTATATATGAACTTAGAGCTCCTCAGATAAATCTGTACTCTGCACAAGTTTCTAGTTTATTACATTAAGGTTGGTAATTTGTCTTTCGAGTGGTTCGAGTCATATTGGACTTCCGATTTAACAAGAAGACTGGACCTCATTGACCAGTCCAACTGGTCGGACACTTAATCCTTGGCCAGTATGGTCTAGAGCAAAAATCCTATTTTTGTGAAATGTTGATTTTATCAAATGTTTAACAATTTTTTTCTATCGTTTCGACCGATTAATGGTGGACAAAGTTTTTTTAATATATTTAAAAATTTTAAGCTGATAGTTCTGTTTTTATTTTTTAACTTTTCTTATGTTGTCCAACTTATTCAATTAATGCATTTATCGATTTTGATTGGATCATACCCTTTATCAAGTTTTAGTAAAAAAATAAGGAGAACTCAACAAAAAAAAAACTCGTGAAGGGAGTTCTTCCATTTCTTGGGGGGTAAGTTAAGAAAACCGCTTTTTACTTACCAAAGCTTTTTTAATGAATTTTGTGGCCGTACTTTTTCTTCTTGGACTGGCCAATGAATCATGAATCAGGATCCTACTTCGAAGGTGTATCGAAAATTTTGCTTGAGTTGATGGCTTGATGGACCAACTTATGGGTTTCTTTTTAATGGATTTCTTTTGGGAAAATGAATCACTTCGATTCCAACATACCGGTTTCGGAAAGATGCCTAATTATCTCATTGTGGTTTTCAATTCTGCCGACACTATCCCTAACTCCCTAATTTATATGAAAAAACATGAGTAGGAGCATGTTTTTCTCACTGAATTATAAAAAAAAAAAATCGATTTGATTTTATTTTTCATCTTTCAGGGTGCTTGAGAGATTAGCGTTTTAGTTGCCCAAGAGAGACCAAAATAAAGGATGACTCATTTAATAAAAACTTTGCTTTTCAAAAAAAAAAAAACTGAATTTTTTTAAAAGGAAAATTGTTTCATACAGGCTGGGTCGCATTTCTACGTATGCAGTCCAGAAAATGTAAAATATCCATATTAAAAATGGTTGCAAGAAGGTGTTCCATCTAAAAACAATGAAATTGAGTTCCAAATATTTTATTACTAAAATTATATTTATAATTTTTTTAAAATTTATTTATTAAGTTATATTCATGATCTCCATGTTAGAGATTACATGTCTTTAAAAATTAAGTTTTAAAATCCATCTCAAAAATAGATTTATTAAAAAGCCCGCATTTCCATACATGCGGGCTTGGCCGCATAGAAACCGGATCCTTTTTAAAATCAAGGATGACTCAAGATGGGGAAGGAGAGAAACTGAGAGTGTTAGAGAAGCCAAAATAAACGATGACTCATCTAATAAAAGTTCAAAAAATAAAATTAGGCATGGGCTTCACGGGTCTGGGCTAGTCTCAGCCCTAGCTTGGCCTTTCTTTCTATAGGTCAAGTCAAGCCCAATGCTGACCTGGCCAAGACTGGGCTGAAAAGGTCCTGGCCCTCGCGAACAGGCCAATTACAATACAAGGAAAAAGGAAAAAAACAATGAAAAAGGGCCAAATTGGCTGGCCCAATTGTAGCTTTACCTGTTTCACTTTTCTTCTTAAAGAATGCCTAAGTTTAGGTTTAGCAATGAAAATTAGGATCGAGCCCTAACCCTAGCTCTTAAGCCACATATTCCAGCCCAATTCCTAGTATTTAGGACCGGGTCAACAGGAATGGCCAGGCCTAATGAAAGTGGTCACCATAAGCCAATTTCTTGGCTAGTTCATAGTCTTGTTTGTTGACTTGATGTCCTAAAACTTCCATGATCAAACTCGTACTTCTAAATTCATTCCGTACATAGTGTTCTATAATACCACTAGAATGCATACACACAAACACGCACTAATCTCCAATGTAGAGATGAGTACGTTTGGAAAGCTTTACTCCGTCAAAAGATGTAGGAAAATAAGTAAATCCTCAGCTCATAACTCAGGAAAAATTGCAATTCAAGCATTGAAAATATTTTAAATTAATAATTTCGGTTTGAATCATTATGGTAGTGAATAAAAATTAGGATTTCAAGCTTTAAAAGAGTGTATATTATAACAAATTATCTAGATCATTGATTTTACCCTAAAAATAAGTGTTCACAGTTTCACAAGATCTGTACCATTTTTTGACTTTCTAATTTGGTTATTCTTTAATTGGTTTTAAAACCATTGTAAAGATTTCTTGTGCCAAAAGTACTTTCCAGACAAGGTTTTATTTTGTTTTCATAAAGCTTAGGCTTTATAGAAATTACATCTGTATGCATATTATATGTTAAAAATGAGTAGAATAAGTTTGTGAAAAGGCCTATTCATTAGTGTCTTCTATATCTAAAAACTTGAGATTTACTATAGAATTCCGAGATGAGTATTTTATTATTATCTTCTTTATTTTAAGGCTGTATTTAATGCTCAATTCCATATTTGAGGGTGTATAATTTATTCGGTCTTTAAGTTTTTTCCATACATCCTAATAAGTTGGGATGTAACATCTATCCAATCGTAAAACTCGAGATTGACTTCATGTTGAAATGTCCAAAGATCTTGGACACTGGTCGGGTCTAGGTCAAGATGTATAAAAAAAAGGACAATATACACCAACATATATACATTCATGTATGTTCGATTGGGTCGACCAACACCCACATCTTGACCCAACCCAAATTTTTCGAAGTTGGGATTCGAATTGGTTCGGGTTGACCCGACTGGTTTGCCACCCCTAAAAGACTGGACAGACGTTTGCTTGGAAAGATGTACTTCGAGTCCACCTCTAAAGGTTTTTAGCTGACGTAGAATACACCTGGTGAGCACAATTTTGGCAAGTCATAAATCTAATATACCTGTTACGCAGGTGACTCGGGTTCGATCCCCGGCAATGGCGAATTTTAACAATTTTTTAGTATTAGTATTTTACCTATAATTTTTGTAAGATCATATTGTATTGTAAATTTTTTAGTATTTTACCTATAATTTTTGTAAGATCATATTATATTCTAAACCAATAATTTTTGTTAAGATCATATGCTCGGGAGCATAAAATCTTTCTACCTCATATTTTAAATATGGAAAAAGTTTATATAAGGGTGAGGCTCTAAAAAATCAAATTAAAGTGCATTCCAAAAATCCTCTAGAAGAGTTTGATTGTTCAAAAATCCTCAAATCGATAATCTCTATATCAAAATGTATGAACATGAGAAAAAATGGATTTCAATTTTTGAAAATAGTATATCTTATAAAGCATTTTCTAGACTATCAATTTTCAAGAATTTTAAGTGTTTATAGATGATCTATACTAATTTTGAAGTTTTAAATTTTATAATTAGAGATAAAAATGAATTTTGAAAGCATTACCAAGATTTTTAGCATCTTTCGATACCATTTATACGTGCACTTGCTTGGATTGTTTAGGGGGTAGGCCTTATACAAACCGCACCCTTTAAATATCGGAAAGCTTTCTATGTTTTTCCTACAACATAGAAGTCCTATCCTCCCTCTACCAATCCAGCCGTCCATTTTTTATCAAGAGAGCCACTCACCGTTTGATCTCAGATCCAACGCCTCAAAGTATTTTATTTTTAATTTTTTTTAATACAAATTTTCTGAATATGAAATTTGGTACGTGCCATCTTCTCATTGGGACGCATCTATAAAAAATATTAACAATAATTTTACGATAAAAAATAATGACCAAATAACCCTTGAAACTTTCAAAGGTATTTTGGTTTTTTTTTTTATATATTTTTCATTAGTGTGAGTTCAATAGAGAAATGGACAGCCAAAATTTGGTGTCAAAATCGTTTATAGAAAAAAAATTAAAACTAAAATAGTATAAAGATGTGACATTGTGATTGGGGCAATCTTAACCCTCCATTCAAAAATGGAGGGTTGGATCAAGCGAAGGATAGAACTTATATATATATTGTAGGGGAAATATAGAAAGCTTTCCCATTGAGAGAAATTACATAGTGAAAAGAGAGAGAAAATAGTGAAAAGAGAGAGACGTTATATCGTGAGAGAAAGTTCAAGAGTGTTATTAGAGAGAGATTACATAGTGAAAAGAGAGAATTGAAACTAGGTACTGAGAGAGTTTAAACCAGATAGAGAATCTGAACTCCGCCCTTGACAATCATGCCTGAAACTCCACACGCAAAATGCCAAACCTCTTTCCATTGCTTCCCCATTTATCGGTTTCTCTCTCCACTTGCTCTTATGGCCACCAAGTCCATCAGTCTTGCCTCTCCCTCCTCAACAAATGCACGTCCTTGAAACAACTAAAACAGGTTCAGGCCCAAACTTTCAAAGAAGCCATTGGCACTGACCCATATACATTAAGCAAGCTCATTGAGTTCTGTGCTTTATCGACATCTAACCTCTTGTTCTATGCTTTCTCTCTCTTCATTTTAATTCCCGAACCCAACCTCTTCGTCTACAACACCATGATTCGAGGATCAGTGAGAAATGATCGACCCTGCGAGGCGATTCTGCTCTATAATCAGATGAGAGAGAGAAACATATTGCCCAACAATTTCAGCTACCCTTTTCTCTTCAATGCCTGTGAGAAAACACTGGCCATTAACCATGGCCTAAAGCTCCATGGCGGTGTTCTGAGAAGTGGGTTTTGTTCTGATCCCTTCGTTATGACAACCCTTTTGACCATGTATGCTAAATTTGGAATGTTGCAGAGTTCAGCCCATGTATTTGATGAGATGGCTATGAGAGATACAGTCTCATGGAATAGCTTAATTGGTGCATATATAAACCATGGGGACATGGAGAAAGCTCAGTGGTACTTTCATAGAATGCCAAAGAGAAGCCTGGTTTCGTATAATTCAATGCTCTCGGGCTATGCAGATAAAGGGGAGATGGATAAAGCTTGGCTTTTGTTCAGAGAGATGAAGGAGAAGGATGTGATTTCTTGGAATTCGATTCTGGGGGGCTACACCAAAAAAGGAGACGTGGAAATGGCTAGAACAATCTTTGATAAAATGGGTGAGAGAGATGTGGTTTCTTGGACTTCCATGATCAATGGCTATGTTCGAAGTTGGCGGTTCAACGAAGGTTTGATGCTCTTTCGAGAAATGCAGGTCTTGAAAACTAAGCCTTCCGAAATCACCATGCTTAGTGTTCTCTCAGCTTGCTCCAACTTGGGGGCTCTAAATTTAGGCCGATGGGTTCATGACTATATTGAAAAGAGTGGGTTCAAGCTTAACAAGGCTCTAGGCACTGCGCTCATAGACATGTACGGGAAGTGTGGAGACATGGATAGAGGACTAGAGGTTTTCAGAGAGATGGAAGGCCATGAGAGAGATGTAATAGCTTGGACTGCAACTATCGGTGGCCTTGCAATAAACAGTCGGAGCAGAGAAGCTCTTGAGTTCTTCTCTAAGATGGTGAGCAAAGATGTAAGGCTGAGGCCAGATGGAGTCACCTTTCTTGGTGTTCTTAGTGCCTGTTCTCATGCTGGTCTTGTAAAGGAGGGGCTTCAATATTTCAAGAGTATGAGCAGGGAGTACAATATTTCGCCTGAAATTGAGCATTATGGATGCATGGTTGATCTACTAGCTCGAGCTGGCCTCTTAAAAGAAGCCGAAGAGTTTGTTAAAAGAATGCCTCTTAAGCCTGATGCAGTGATATGGGGTTCTCTGTTCTCGGCTTCTCGAATTCATAACAATGTGGAGTTAGGAGAGAGAGTGATTGAACATCTTACAGAGATGGAACCCAAGAATTTAGGGAATTATGTGGTTCTTTCAAATGTATATGCAGCAGCCGGTAGGTGGAATGATGTTGCAGAGGTGAGAAGAGCGGTGCGGGAGAAAGGAGTTCGAAGGACACCTGGTTGTAGCTCAATTGAGACAAGTAATGAAGTTCATGAGTTTGTTGCTGGAGATCTCTCGCACCCACGATCAGTTGAAATATATAAGATGTTGGACGACTTAGCTAGTGGGCTTCAGCTAGAAGGGTATTTTCAGGACCCTTACTTCTTCATGCAAGAGACAGATTGATATGTGGTGCGAGAGAAAAAGGATGGAAAAAATTGCAATGTATAATAAATATGTTCAGCCACAGGCAAGGCTGCCAAGAAAATTGTATTAAGATGCATTCATTATTGGATCCCCATAACTTGATTGAACAAGTAAAGTACTCCTCTGTTTTGATCCCTTTGAGAAAATGCCATGGAAAATTGCGAAAATTAAATCAGATGAGAAACTGAGAAAATCCAAGCTGAAGGCAATTGCTCCATCTTTTGTGGCAAAAAGTAAAGAAATAGCAAAGAGATAACTGCTGCAACCCAACAGCAATAAGAAAATTGAAGAAAATAAGATATATAGATATAATACGGCTTCTTCCTTTGATTTCTTCTAAGCTGTGTTCAAGGATCTGCAACCACAAAGATTGGAATTACTAGAACCATGACATGATCAGGATGAAATTGAGTTGGAGGAAAAGCAAAATCATTAATCACATAAAAACTGGATTAAAGAACTGGAAAAATTGAGTGGTTTACGACTTCATGAGGGATAAATGAGGTTTTTGCAATTTTCAATTAATCTAGTCGCTATTTCGGAGTTAAAGAGGGTACCAAAGAGGTTGAGGGAGGGTACCTAGTCACCATGGCAAAGAAGTTTCACCGTTTTATTCAACAAAAAAAATCATGGGATCAATGCTTTCTCCTTGCCCCTTGTGCACTAAGATTTCTCCTAGCAGTAATCCAGATGAATCCAAAATGAGATAAAACTCCAATGAGATCCCAATCCATTATGGGTGCTTAAACATGACATAAAATTGGCCCTTGAAATCGCTTGAGCTAGACAAAGCCATGGCCAAAGCTGAACGGAGAAGAATGGAGCCAAAAGGAGAATAAAAACCAATCTGTACACCTTCAACCCTCTCATAACTAACTTGAGAGTTGAGAGATCATAGATGGAGTACCAAGAGAGAGAAAAATGTGATGTGTTTAAACTGTAAAGCACTTATTGTTGCACAGATGTTGTGGATTCCAACTTGAACCATGTTTACCTTGAACAAAAAGAACAGAACTACAAAAAGGAATGCATTTTAAACTAATCCTGTTGCAGGAAATTGTCCCACAAAGCGAGGATGGGGATTGAAAGATATACATCCTTAGGGGCCGATTGGGTACCTGTAAATCAATTACAAGGAAATAGATGATTAGGAAATTCATCATTCCTAGTGTTTGGGTACGCACATGATAAGCAGGAAATGAAGCGCATTACCAAAAATCTCCTTCAAAACCGTGAAATCAATTACCCACCCCAAGAGCTGGAAAATGCATTACAGAGTTGACGGGTAATGTGAAGCTTGACGGACCCGCTACAAAACATACAATAGATCTCATATAAGTGTTAAGTGTGACTCTCTCTCTCTCTAAAGTCTTACCTAAATTTGAAGACCAAAACTTTTTAATTTTACCAAGGTGCTCCTCTTCCCTTTTCGCTTTCTAAAATATTCACCCCTTTTTTTTATGTAATGCCCTTCTTTTTGTAAGTGTTCTCTGCAAATTTAAATGTATTGGTACTTTCTTCACTATACACATGTCATCAAAATATTGTTGTTATATTAATATGAGAATTATAATTGTTATTTATTTAGTTTTAATTGATATTTTCATTAACAAAGGAAAAATATTAAGAGATATAAAAAAAGCACATTACTATATGCAAAATTTATGCAATATTTCCAAGCCAAAATGACGGTAATGCATTTCGTAGATTTCCTTTAGACATAGCCAAACAACAACAATAGCTTTTTAACATAATAATTATAGGGAGAAGAGAAATTAAATTAATCCATGTGGATATTACATATATTGAAAAATAAAGTAGTTTTAATTGATTATTTATCCTAAAAAAGAAAAAAAATATTAAAAAAACCACTATAGATAAAATTAACACAGTATTTCCTAGCCAAAAAATATTGATTATGGATCTTCCATATTTCTTCTAGACATAGCCAAACAGTAACAATGTATTTCCCAGGTTGCATCTAGATACTACCCAAACGGTAACAATCCATTTGTAGGTAATGTTTTACGCCGATAATATATTTCCCTTACGATATATTTCCAGGTACCTAAACAACCCCTTAAAGTGATGAGTGGCCATAGATCAGGAGCCAAAGAAGTTGATAACTTGATGTGCATGAAAAGTAGGGATTGCCCCAATGAATCCACGCATATGCAAAATTGTCACTGAACACAGTTGTAATAAAACAGCACAAAATTGCAGAAGGCTGTGCCAAAAATAAGCAGATCAAGGTCTAGAATCTAATGTTACATACCAATGGTACAGTATATCCTCTCATCAAATGCACCATACGGATTATTGAGATTGATGATGTTTAGATGTGTGTCATTTATATTAGTGCTATTTTCTACTAGATCAAGTTCTTCTATTTTATGTGGCTGCAACCTATGACCCCTTCAAATTGGTGCAGAATTAAAGATCCTTCAGTTTGCAACAAGTGACAGCCATTGCAGCACCAACAACTACAAACATCAAACAATACCAGTTCTCACAAGCTCCAAAACAGCCTAAGAAGTGATGACTTAAAAAATAAATAAAAAAAGCCAAAAAACGGAGCAAGCTCTAAGTCCTATTCAGAGGCTCAGAAATCATGTCAACATCTGCACAATTGCATAACCCGATTCAAGGTTGGGAATCTCAGATGACGGATGATCCAAATAGAGAATATATACAATAAATGCACAATCGTTCAAAGTTAGCACACTCCGACAGACTTCACATGCTAAAATAACAAAAGAAAAGTGAATTTCACATGCTAGAACAACTAGTGCTATATGCACTTAATTGCATATAAGATATCAAGCCAATTTGCAAGTGAAAAGAAGGCTGTTGAGAATTATGAATATGAGTCAGAAGCTGAAAGTCTAATGCTCCAAATGAAAAGATCATGATGGTAACATCATGAGGAGAACATAAATGTCAGCATCTAGACCAGAGCTTAAAATATTGTCTGTCCAACTCAAGAGACTGCATCAGGAGCGAGGTGAATCCACGCCGAGGCCCAAAAACCCAGATCTCTGAATTCTCCTGTTTTTTCATTTTTTTTTTGGTTTTGCTTATTATTAAAACCTTCCTGGTCCAACTTGGACTCACCTGAGTCAGACTAGGGAAATCAGATCAGGAACCTAGCATGTCCCTACTCAAGTCCAACTACTTTTTAATCACTGATGTATACAAATCATATGGGGAGATATATTCTATTACTAAAAATGGTTTTATCTAAAACAATGTGGAACTGAACAAATGCAGGCAGCAATAACTCTCTTCAATCCACATTAAGAATGGATGATATCTTCGACCTGAAAAAATATCAGGCTGAAATTCTTCCACCAAAAATTAACAATATATGCCTATAGAATATTAGGCAAGGTTAGGTAGGCAAAAACTAGTATTCAGGCAAACATCGGAAACAATCATATTCACTCAAACCAAATCTCCCAATAAATAATGTTGAGTTGAAAAGCTTGAATATACCCCTGCTGAAACTCAACCAAGAACCTTATATACATAAACCCCTTTCATTCTAATGCATATAAAGAAAATAGGCAAATAACACTAGTCCAAAATATATTAATTATGAAGTCTTAACTTTTGGAGAAAACAAAAGTCAGTCCTCCCATCTGTAGGTTCAGGAGATAACACACACAAGGCATGTAATACCTGCACTCAAGCATAACATATATTGTATAAGACAAATAAATTGGAATACAAGGTAAAGGTAATGATACACCCGAGAAGCCATCCGCTCTTTTTAAAGATTTAATGGCATATTAGCTACATTAATAACAGTACACTTCATGCCTCTAAAAGTTGATAGAGATCTAGTTGAATCAGAAGAACCATATGCAAAGAATGATATTGTTATCGTCTAACATAATCGGGCTTAAACTGTATAACCCGTACTCAATTTCAGCCTATCCTATTGATAAATTAACCACTATCTTGCTGAACATAATTGCCATTTCTTAGAACTGAATCCTCTAATAAAAAGAAAAACGAGAAAACACAGAAATCTAAAAGAAATTGCTGAACTCTAAACAACAAAAAGAGTCAAAACAAACAATCACAACCCATGCCTAAGAAATCCATAAACCCCTAGTTCTCTCTATCTGCAATGTAGTTAGCCAAATAGACCAATGGAGCAGCCTTCTCAGGATTGAACCCCAGGAGCTGCTCTTTTGCCTCCCTGTTCAAATCCTGTGCAAATTGCCTTGATTTCTCGAGACCCAACAATTTCGGGTAAGTAATTTTGTCAGCAACCAGGTCTTTCCCTGCTGTTTTGCCCAATTCCTTCGAAGATTTTGTAACATCAAGAATATCATCAACGACCTGAAACAAAAGACCAACACACCTCGCATATTTCCTCAATTTCTCCACTTCTTCATCAGACCCACCTCCCAAAATTGTTCCAATAACAACTGAACCTTCTAAAAGAGCAGCTGTCTTATGAACATGAATGAATTCAAGTTGATCTAAACCGACCTCCGAATTACCAGCTGAAAAAATATCAACAACTTGGCCTGCAACTAAGCCTTCAGACCCAATTGCCTTAGCCAATTCAGATATAACTCTAACCACTATAACAGGAGAGACCCCCACAGTTGAGGTTGCTATGTGTTCAAATGCAAAGGCCAAAAGCGCATCACCTGCTAAAACTGCAACATCTTCACCGAAAACCTTATGATTTGTAGGTTTTCCCCTTCTGAGGTCGTCATTATCCATACATGGGAGATCATCATGAATCAAAGACATGGTATGGATCATTTCAATAGCACAAGCTGAGGGCATGGCTGCCTCTTCAGAGCCACCCACTAGCTCACATGAAGCTATGCAAAGCATGGGTCGAACCCTTTTGCCTCCGGCCAATAGAGAATAGCGCATGGCTTCATGGATCCTCTCTGGTTCTCTCAAGGAAACAGCTTTGTCTAATGCTAAATTAACTGAGTTCCCTTTCTCCATCATATAGCCCTTGAAATCAAATTCCGAAATATGGGTTTCGACTGCTTTTTGGTCAAGGTAGGTGGCTGATACACAAGTTTTGGGGGGAGATTTGCTTCTTTGGAGCCATTTTGCAGTGAGAGAAGATGGATTTTGAGAGAGAAACATGGTTTTTGAGCACCACACCTGGTTAAGAAAAGTTGGGTGTTTCAAATTGGAGGGAGACAAGGGGTTTCTGTAACAGGTGAATGGGAGAAAGCTCAGAGCACCAACATTGCATGAAGAAGTCATTTTATCAGGCAGATATGGGTTTTCTTGCCTCAAATTATATTCCAACGGCGATCCTAGAGAGAGAATATACAATGGATTCCTGATTCAAAATGGTGAAAGCCAAACAAATTCAGGGAGGCCGCCTTTCACCAAAGAAGTCAGAAACATATGAATTAGAGAGAGATGGAATTTTTATTAAAAGAGATTGAAAAACCGTCAACAATAAATGGAAATAAGCAGAATTCAAATGTGCAAACAAACTAATCGTAAAATGGCCTGACCTTGCTGAAATTCTTGCTTAAAGTACAGGGCGAGTTCTAGGGTTCAGCGTTTTTTGTTTTAGAGAGAGAAATAGAGGTTAGAGAGAGAGGAAGGGGGTTTTCAGACAACTGGCTCAAAGTTTAAACCATTAGAGAACAAAAACGAGCTTGTCAACCGCCCCATGAGTTGAAGATAACATAACATGATGGGGGGGCGCACACAGTTGTCTCGTACAAACTTTCATATGAGGTTGCAACCTTAAAATGTAGAATTAAGGTGGCCCCAAAAAATCTATCGGAAAATGCAGTTTTGATGTTTTAAAAACCTCTTAATGATAATCTCAACGTCTAGATGCATTAGGGGTGGCAGTGGGTCGGGTACCAGGTCGTGTCGGCTAGACTTGAACCCGGACACAAGTTTTAGACTTGGACCCGACCTTACGGGTTCAAAATTTGGACACATACCCAAACCCATCGGGTCTTAGGTCTACATGTCTGTCTTGAGTCTAGTCGGATCAATTGCCACCCTATGATTATAAGTTTTTTGTTTTTTTGTCATTTTCTTTACTATCATATACACGTATTATTTACAACATCTCCAGTATTGCAACATTTATTATGTATTGGTAATATTTGTAAATACCCATGTAATATATACTGACATTATTTGAGTTGTATATGGGTCGGGTCCAGCTGGACTCGGACCCAAAGTCAGATCTACCTGTCAGGTCTCAGGTCTGATCGGGTCCATTGCCACCCTAAGATACATAAATATGAAAACAAAAAAGGACTTTGGAGTCTCAAAAATAGTAAATCTTACATCATATTATCTCCACTATCTTTTTTTAAGATTTTCATGTGTTTATAGATCTACTTGATTTTAAGTATTTATAGAATTTAAAATTTTATAATTAGATATGAAAATAGATTCTCAAACCATTATAAAAAAAGAAAAAGTTTATATAAGGTTGCAATCTTAAAATGTAGAACTACGGATGCACCTCAAAAATCATCGGAAAAGGTTGTTTTAATGTTGAAAAACCCTTTGATTGATCATCTCGACATCGAGATGCATGACTACAAAAAATTAAAAAAAAATTGAGTCTTAGAAATGGTGAATCTTACAACATATTATCTAGACCGTCCATTTTCAATACTTTCATATGTTTATAGATCTACTTGGTTTTAACCATTTTTAGAATTTAAAATTTTATAATTATATATAAAAATAGATTTTAAGATAATCCTAAGAATATTTTACATCAAAATCATATATTATGATAAAATTTGAAGGTACATATTAATTGGATTGTATAAGATTACAACCTCATGGAAACAACACCCTATAAAAAATTCTGACACCTAAATTATATCTTATGATAAAATTTAGAGGTTGGCCTTATTTTGATTGTTTAAAGTCGCAGCCTTATACAAACTGCAGCCCTCTAAAATCCCATATTATTCAGTCTTTACAAACAAGAAAGGTGCGCTCTCTCTCTAAAATGGCCGGATGCGTAGAGTAGGTTCCTTCTCTCTCTAACATGCAAAATGTCTCTCTCTCTCTAACCCCAATTCAATGATTTGCACTTTCTCTCTCTACATTTGCTCTTTACCTCTTTACAATCCAAGAACTCCCTATAGCATTCATTCTCTTCCCAATCCTAGCAAAATAGTTTAATCTACGTTTTTTCTCTCTAAGCCTTTACAAGTTTGATCCACATTTTCTCTCTCTAAGCTTTGTCTTTTTCTCTTTCTGATCATCGATTTATTGAATCTTTCCCCCCTCTCTCTCTCTAAATTCCCTCTCTAGGTCTGTGCAAAAGTACAATTTGAAAAATCTTAAGCTCGTGCAGGAGCACTTTGTTTATTTACTCCCTCAATTAAAAACCAATATAAGTGTGTTTAGATCTCAAATTGCACATGTGACTTTTTCAATCTAACAACTGTTAAAAAATATGAAGATAAAAATGTAATCTATATATTCTTTAAAGGCTGTGATTTGTACAAGGTTGTAACCTTAAACAATCAAATTAAGATGCATCTCCAAATTTTATCATAAATATAATTTTGGTGTAAAAAATTCTTAAGATGGCTTGAAAATCTATTTTTATCTCCCATTATAAAATTTTAAACTCATCAAGTAAATCTATAAATGGTTGAAAATCTTGAAAATGGACGGTCCAGATAATGTGTTGCAATATACATATTTTTCTAACTCAAAATCTTTTTCCTCTCACACATTCATACATCTCGATGTTTTACATGATCAATTAGAGGGTTTTCCAACATCAAAACCACATTTTATGATGGACTTTTACCGTGCAATTTAATTCTACATCAACCTATATAAACTTTTTTACTTCTTTAAAAAAAAAGGAATATCCTAATACTTATAAAGACTTCAAGTTTTTAGGATGAGATATGAAGAACTCAAAATAATATATTTTCAAAATAATTTCATAATAAATATTAGATGGATCCAAAATTCTATACGAAAAAATCCTACCAAAGGACTTATTTACTTAAGAGAGTAAATGTACAATATGGTAGCATGGGATCATATAATTCAAGGTGTGACCTCTGTAGACTTGAATCACCGGTGGTCGTCGCTCTCTCTCAAATCATTAGAGTTGGAAATGGACCTTGAACACGTATTGCACATGGATGTAAATCCCACTCTGTAGCAAAAATTATACAATGGACACGGTTTCTATGCGACCAAGCCCGCATATGTAGAAGTGCGGGCCTCTTAATAAATCTATTTTTGAGATGGATTTTATTAAATAATTTTTAAGGATATGTAGTCTTTGACATGGAAATCATAAGTATGAATAAATAAATAAATTTTAAAAACTAAAAATAATAATTCTAATAAAATAACATTTGAATTGTCAACTTTCATCGTTTTTAGATGAAGAAACTGAAATTAGATGGAACACATGCTTGCATCCATCTTTAAGATGGATGCTTTACACTTTCTGGACCGTATATGATTTTCATTCTCTGTTATCCTTTTGTTTGATTTGAAAATCATGTAAACTATTTTTTTTATATTTTTAAAAGATTCACATTTTTTTGATGTACACACGTTTCAAATTTCAAGTGATTTGGATTTGGAAAAAAAAAATTAAAATTCAAACACTACCAGACATCCGTGATCGTCAGATCGGCCCCGATTCAATCTGGGCCATTGGGCTCATTTATATATATATATATAAGTATTTCTTTAATATACTCAACTTTTTTGGACACTCATATACCCTTGTTTTGTCATACAATTTTTTTTTTAATAAAACCACTTTCCGTAATCATGAGGAGTGTGATAGATATTTTTATAAAAACGTAGTGCCATTTATTATTGATTAAGAAGCAATCAATTGCTCCATATGATACCTGACCGGTTTCAAGTATGAGACCAACCATGCCCAGACCCGACCAAAACCGGTCAGGTATAAATCCACTTTTTCAATAATCCATTTTGATGGCTTTTCTCATCTTATTTATTTTCTATTTCTATTAGTCCTTTTTAACTTGCATCTGACTTTAAAAGATCTTTTAGATATTTTTTACCATTTTTTAAGCATTTTTCGCTTTTTTTGCGGTGTACCTAACATTATCAAGTCCACTCAAACTCAGCCGACTTACTCGGCTCGGCCAAAGGCCGAGTACCTTGGCCGTGTTGATTTCTGTACACTGTACCTAACATCATTCCAATAAGGTCCTTGAATCAGCCCACCTCCCCCACTACTACTAAGGAAATCAACAAATTACCTATCCAATCTATTAATTCCATGTATACATGGGATTCTGGAAAGAGTAGGCTTGACATGAAAATTACTCAGCCAATTAACATATCTTTAAGGGCCGCTAAGGAGAGAGGGTTCGTTGTCACCATCATCATCGTAACATTTTCTCAACTATGAGGTTGACTCATGCAAAAGTACATCTATACACCACCTAGGCAATGATCGTATTATCTTAAGGAATAAGAGTAAAAAATCAAATTGGAGTAACTATCAAAGGGAAAAAATATTTAAATGAGTAAATTCTTCCTTATAAGTCACAACAAATAAAATAAAATAAAAATTATTTTCAATAAAATAGTTGACCAAAAAACCCCTCAAAAGTTTTAAGGGAATTTTAGTCAATATATTTTATTCATAATATTTCATTATTATTTTCATTTAGTATGCAATTTAAAAATACATATATCCTAATTTCAAGTAAAAATAAATGTTTATATATCCTAAAATTTCAGGTAAAAATATTTGTTAAATTAAAAATAAAAATAAAAAAAGAAATTAACTTCCAACCATTAGATGTGGCACGGTCCAATATGAACCATTGAAGCGTCCCCGGCATGTGGACGCTATACCATCCCATAATCAAATTGGCAGCTAATATTTGAAAGAAATGCAATTAAAATGTTGAAAAAAAGCTAAAATACTGTAATTAAACTAAAATGGAAATGACTGACAGGAAAAAGCATACCAAGAGCCTATCAGCACAAATTTAAGATGAAATTAGGGTTTAAGAGGCTGTAGGCAGGGAGATACTCGAGAATTTCTGACCTAGGTTCAGGAATTAGAGACGAATTGGGAGAACGAGGGTGAACTGTGGACTAATTAGGACCTACTAGCACTAACTAAAACTAGTATAGGCTTAGAAAAATCGTATATAGGTTTAATTAGGACTATTCAGGGCCAGAAATTGTGTATAGGGCAGAGAAGAGGGGTTCATGGTTTAGAAAGCTTGTAAGTCTTGGGAAATCGAACTTTCGAGGATTCAGGTAATTTGGACCCTAGGGTGTATGGTGGATTCTGATAAGATCTATGAAATTAACATGAACCGATCAATTTCAGATGCCTACAATGACAACAATCAGAATTCTTATGCTGCATACTACTAGTATACATGGTGATGGGTTAGTCATTATTGATGCCTACATGTCATAGCTCATCTGAAATATCTACTACAATATATGAATAACTTTACACGAACATTTTCTTCTACAAGAAATTTCGAGTATCGATTTATAGTCCGTCTAAAGTTATGACCCTTGATAGAGATGGCAAGCATTCGAAAAAATTTCTATCAATGTAGTTATGACCCTTATAACCGATCCCAAATAGTTGGGATGAGACTCGGATAATGATTATGCTGATATGAAGGAAGTTTGAATCTCCTAGGGGCACCATAAATATGCGATGTTTCGTAGTATACTGTAGCTAGTGACACTTGCAACAAAACAGTTGACATTCCACTTCTCTACATTGATACAGATGGCAAGCATTCGAAAAAATTTCTAACACCCTCTGCAGAGGACTTGTATTCTCATCATGAATCACCTGAGAGCCTTCAGCTCTCCTACAAATTCAGATTGACAACGTACATATATTTTTCTCCACAAGTTGATTTGGGGTGCATGTTAACAATCACCAATACAATATGAAATAAAATGTGTTTGTTTGGCCTTTCTCAAGTTTCACAGAAGAACACGATATGAGGACTAACTCTTGTGGGGAGGGGAATATTATGCTCAGTAACAAGTGTGGGAGTGGCTTCATAGTTCATACATTGATTTACAATTTAGTTTCTCAATCAACGACTCCCACATTTATGCATTGTGATAACAATAATATTACATGGTTTGCTTCTGCTCCAAAGTTTCTCGATGACATGAACTGTACACAGGTAGATCGGCATCTAGACGAAAATGCCAATATTCGGGGATACCTCACTTCCAAATATGCCAACTTCGCAATGTAGACCTCACCAGAGGAACAATGTGGTCGACTACTCCTTGTATCCATATCAGTCTCAGAGCACTGGTTTAAGGGTGGTGAGACACCTATTTTGTGCAGTTTCTTTCCTATCATGCATATGGATTATAGGATTTTGAGTGTGCACATGCTTGCATGTGTGTATACATGAGTGTCAGCAATTGTGTTCCCAGTGATACTAATGAGGACTAAACTCCCTCTTTCACATGATTGGCATAAATCATAAGTTTACAAAAAAGATAAGCTCCAAACAGAAAAAAGGAAAATCCAAGAAGCAAAGTTAATTGAAGAAAATACAGAAGAGAAAACAAAAGAAAAGTAAAATCTCAGGAAACTCAAAATTGGTTTTCCTCTCTTTCCTTTCACTTTACATCCTATAGAGTCTCTTTGCTAATATTGTACACATGAACTATCAAAATTATTGCCATGAACCAAAAACCTTTGCCCTTCAATTGTAACAAAGGCAGATACTTAATAAACGACTCAAAAAGAAGCTAGAAAGCTTGTCCACCATTCTCCTCAATTAAATACTAACGACCACTACCCACAGTCACCCAATAAAAATCATTAAAAAAGGAAGGAAATAAAAGTTACAAGAAATATAATAAATGAACATCCACAAAACATCTTAACCCAATGGGGACCAGCTTTCCTACCCACTATCCTCCAAGAAAACAGCAAACTATCAAACAGATTAATCAAATAAGCCACCAGGATTGGGTCTCCAAAAATGTCAACATTCGATACGCACAGCTCCACTTTCTGATGATATGAACTTGGGTTTCCTGTTTACAAGCTCGAGGCACTGTACAATGTCTCCGACCTGGAAATCATGACAGTCTTGGATGACCAACCCACACTCGTTCCCCTTCCCAACAGCCTCAACATCCTGTTTCTCTCTCTTGATCGAGACACATGAGCCCTCAAAAACAACTTCACCACTCCTTAGAAGTCTCATGGTTGAAGACTTAGTGACTCGACCATCAGTTACTCGGCAGCCTGCAATCTTCACATCTGCACCCTTTGCCTTGCTCCTCCCCGTGAGCTCGAAGATACTGAGCACTTGAGCCTCACCTGCCACCATGGTCTCATTGATACCTGGTGCCTTGTTCACAATGAGGTCACCTATGTCCTCAAGAAGATGGTAAATGACACGGTGCTGCCGTATCTGCAAGAATTATAAGTTTCAGTTTTGAATTTTTTTTCCTTGAGAGATAAATAATAGGTATAAAGTTTGTAGGGAAAGGTCAAATAACATGAGAAATGCAACTTAATGGACAGAGAAACTTGACAGGAGTTTGTGAAACATGATTATGGGTATTTTCTTTTTTGCGGTGGCAGGTGGAAAGAACTAGGAAAATACCACCACCTGTTCCATTACATAACAACACATTGCTAATGTCTTTAAAAAACTTATAGAGCTACGAGCCTTGAAAACCTCATGAAACTACTCAAGACAATAAGCAAATGATGCAATTTGGTGTTAAGAGGGAGTGAGAACACAATGCTAACGTCGGGAGGGAGGAAGGGAGGGAGGGAGGGGAAAGAGAGAGAGAGCGAGAGAGAGAGAGAGAGAGAGAGAGAGAGCAGGAATGGGGGTCATTAGAAGGCAAGGTACCTTTATGCTGGCTCGATTTGCTGCCTGAATAACAGAACTTAGTGGGTTGCGTATGTTGAACCCCACTATGCATGCTCCACAAGCTTGTGCCAAGTCAACATCAGACTGAGAGATGGGCCCAACCCCAGTGTGGACAATGTTTACAAAAACCTGGCAATCACAATAGTTAATAACAACAATAATACAATGAAAGATGAAAAACCACCACCACTAAACTCAAGATAAAGAATTTCAGAAACAAGCATTACTTATCCATCACCAGAAAATGATCCATTTGCTCAATTCAATAAATTTGCACCTAACATAGAGTATATTGGTGCATCAAGAAGTTCGATGTGTTTTAGAAGCTTTTGCATTATGAGAAGGGGGAAAAAAAAGGGCAGCTTTCAATATCATGAAAACAAAATCCAATGGGCAAGCTAAATATAGCGGAACATAAACTAATAGGAAAGCATTAAACATTATGAGAACAAAAACAATGGGAAAGCTTTTAAAATCAGGACAATAAGAACAATAGGAGAGCTAACAGGTATGAGAACAAAAACCAATGGGAAAGCTTTTGAGATCAAGAGAACAAAAACTCAAGGCTTCATAAATTCATCTACCTGTCACCTACCTGAGGACTGTTTAGGCTCTTCAAGGCATCTGTCACTGCCTGAACAGTACCTTGCACATCAGCTTTAACTATAATAGGCATCTCCACCCTTTCTGTTCCTTCATCTGTTCCAGAAGTTTCCATCCTACCTTCATTGAGATTCTTCAGCCTCTCTTCTTCCAATCTCTTCTTCCTCCCTACACTAAGCATCCTTGCTCTTTCCTCTGAATCCACAACAGTGATATCATCACCAGCCATTGGAAGTCCCCTAATACCCTCAATCTCAACGGGCATTGCAGGCCCTGCTAGCTCAGTAACCTTACCCATCATATCCCTGATAGCTCTAATTCTCCCCCACTCTGCTCCAACAACAATATGTTGGCCACAAACGAGAGTTCCTGATCTCACGATCGCAGTTGCCAAAGGCCCACGCCCTCTATCAAGCCTCGCCTCCACTACATAAGCATGGGCAGGCCCATCTACACGTGCTTTAAGATCCATCAACTCAGCTTGAAGAAGCAGTGCTTCCTCTAACTTATCCAAACCAATTTTGTTTGTTGCTGAAACTTCAACAACTTGAACATCGCCACCCATTTCCTCCAGCGATAAACCTTCAGAGCAAAGCTGGATCCTAACTTTTTCAGGATCAGCAGAGGGCTTGTCACACTTGTTGATAGCAACCACAATGGGCACATTTGCAGCTTTTGCATGAGCCATGGCTTCGAGAGTTTGGGGCATCACCCCATCATCGGCAGCCACCACAAGAACCACTATATCTGTAACTGCTGCTCCCCTTGCTCTCATTGCACTGAAGGCTGCATGGCCTGGGGTGTCTAAGAAAGTGATTGAAGCCCCAGACGGCATGGCCACAACAAAAGCACCGACATGTTGGGTTATTCCACCAGCTTCTTTAGCTGCAACAGAAGTTTGTCGAAGAGCATCGAGAAGGGAAGTTTTTCCATGATCAACATGACCCATTACTGTTACAACCGGCGGTCTTCGCTCAAGTTTGGCACCTTCTTCAGAGTGGAGACGCCTCACATTGGCTCCTACTTCCTATCAAATGTCAGGGAACAGAGGTCACATCAGTTAAAGGAAAAGAGATAAGCAGTAAGTAGGAACCAATGATATGACAACATGATGGAGCTTCATTGGAAGTTTGCCCCTCGCGTACACCAGTAAACAATTACCCAATCGAGATAAGAAAGCAAACAACAAAGGAGGCAAGTCTATTTTCCCGTGCATATGGTTGTGGGAGCTAAACACAAAACATTCATAAGAGCAACCAACATTGCATCATACCACAAAACAATTACTTCTGGAACATTAAGTCGCCATATTTTCAATGGACGACAACCAAAGTACCAAACCACTGTTCATGTATGAAGTGCAATTAGTCAAATAAATTGATTTAACAATTCTGGTAAAAGAAAAATTCACTAATTAATGCCAGAACAATGTCACCCTCACCATTTTTAAGAATGGGTAGAAAAGCCTCTCCACATTCAACATTCAATTCACTTTTGGTAGCACAGTTTCCATGCTTTTGAAGGCCTTCATGTTGTGCTCTAATATGGAGCTATGGACCAACTTTGTCAAGGAGTAGTACTTCAGTATATATTTATTTTGTATTTTTTGGGAGAATGTCAACATTTGTATAAAGAAAGGGGTGAGTACAAAAAATGGGCTACCCATAAGCCAGGAGCTATGTACACCAAAGAAAGGCTACCCACAAACTGGAAGCTCTGTGCAAAAACCACAGAGGGTGTGGGAATAGAACAGGAGCCCCTACATAAGTGGGAGATTGCGTCAAAAATATGTGCCAGGGACCAAGGGCATGTTGAAGAACCAGAGGCCCAGGAGGTTACGTTCCTGGAATCTCCTTCGACGATCAAACCTGGGCTCTAAGAATGGTCAAAGTGTTTGAGGCCTTTGAGGAGCGCGAGGGCCTCAGCAGTTTGGGAATCTGAGTAGCCAATATGCTTAGAGAAGGAGGGCAGAATAGTTCCTTCATGGTCCCTAAAGAGACCATTGATGCCAACAGGACTGGTACTTCAGTAGTATTGTAGGAATTCTCAACAAAAAAACAAGTTCTATTGCAGGAACTGGGCAAGAATGTAGTATAAAACATAGTAACTTTTCGACCTCTCTTTCCAAAACAACGGTACTTCTGGTATGAAATCAAAACCCAACTCCTCATTAAAAAAAAAAAATCGAATTCCCACTTCGAAGAAGCTGAACTATCAACTATTTGATAAGAGGAAAAGTTAACTCTTCTCAAAAAAAGAAACTATATGATAACGTACATACAAATGACTATCATTCAATGTAGAGTGCACATGTCATCATAAGGAAATTGATCCTCAGTAACAAAACGTCAGCCATGTAGTAGTGTTTTATTTTTTTCTAGGTGACCAGGTCAGTAGTAGATTTTAAAATCATTAGCTAGTACACAATTGTTATATTTTATTTGTCACCTCTTTGCTAGTGCAACAACATCGACATGGGCATACAAGCAATCAAATAATAAGCATATGATATAGTCACCAAGACCATGGAAACTGGAGCGAAAAAACAAATACTTTCATTTATCAAACGAAAGAATATAAACACACACACACACATATATATATATATGCAAATCACTCCCGTCAGCAGGTTCGCGTATGGCTAGGGGTACACCGATGGTGTGGATTAAAACAAGTTCATCAAACAGTGCATCTTGAAATTTGCTTTTTCCCCTGACACTCTTGATCCCGTACACATTAATTGCGTACTCTCTCTCTCCCCGCCCTCTTTCCTTCTCCCTCTCAATAACCCAACCAACCTCTCTCTCTCTCCCACACTCCCTCTCTCTCTCCCTGCCATCTCTCCCTCTTTCTCTCTCCCCGCCATCTCTCCCTCTCTCTCTACCTCCCTCCCTCCCCAGCTTCGCAAAACAACGGACTCTCCCACCTCACTCTACCACTCTCACTCTCCTCCTCTCTCTCTCTCTCTCTCTCTCTCTCTCTCTCTCTCAACCAAAGCAGCAAGTCACTTCTGCTCTTGCTTCAACTAAACCCACCTTTGTTCGAGTGACCCATTTTATCTAATCGACATTCTCACCAAACCAGGCAATAAACCCACTTTCACTGTCTCCTCAGAGCATATCTCACTACTCGTGCTGCTCCTTGAACATAAGCGTCTCATAAAAACCCAAACTCACTGCCGTGAGCACAAATTGGACGCAATTTTGAAGCAAGTGCATGAGCATGTTTGCTCTTTCACTGTTTCCTTCGTTTGCCATTTGTTTGAGCAGAGATGGCGAGGGTGAGAGAGAGAGGGAGGGAGAAATGGCATGGGAGAGAAAGGGAGGATGAGATAGCGGATGATAGGGAGAGATCCCCTCAATGTTTAAAAAAGCACTAGGCGGCTGTGGGGGTCCAGACCGCCCAACGCCTAGGTGAGCGCCCAAAACCTGGGTGGCCCAGTTGAAAGAAAAAAGGTAGAATTTTTGAGAATTTTGATATGCTATAGTCTATCCATAATCCATATTTAATATTTCCATGAATGAGGAATTGATGAGAAATCGAGAAAAAAATTTTGATAATCCATAAGACCATAATCAATATTTCCTACAATGTTAAAACAGTAAAACCATACAAAGATACACTGATAGTCTGACACACATAAAAGTTAGATAGTAAAAACTAGAAAGTAGAAGCTGAAAACAAAAAAAAGAAAATATACAGTCTAAGACACAATAGTTAATTCTCAACAGTCAACACCAAGAGTTAAGCACTCAAGCATCTTCAACTCTTCATTCTTCATTCTTCAGTCATCATCATCATCATAAGAAGGAATAGGGTAAGCCTCATCATATGCATCAGATTCGAGGCCATCATCATCAGAATCATCTCCCTCCTCAACATAACGCTCATCCTCTTTTGTTTATTCTGAATCTGCCTCTTCCTCCTCCTCTTCTTCTACCTCCCTCTTACTATGTGCAGATGAGGCCCTAGGCGTCTTGGCATTTTCTATTTTTTTGTGCTTCCCTGAACTCAAATATTGTATAATCTCCTCCCTAGTAGCCTCAAGAACATTTTTACATGGGGCACATCCCCCGCCCTATGCTCTACCCTTTTCTATTTTTTTGTGCTTCCCTGAACTAAAATATTGTATTATCTCCTCCCTGGTAGCCTCAAGAACATTTTTACATGGGGCACATCCCTTTCAATACCGATAAGGTGTTTTTTGAACCGGTAAATACCCCCATTAGTATTATTTCCACAATAATTACATTTAATACGATTTTTGTCACTTGGATTCGAGTTATAAACATACGTCCAACTCGGATCACCACTTCTAAAAGAACCTAGAGAAGATATTTCCATAGAACAAGGCTCATTTTCATCCTTCTCTGGTTCTTTTAAATTCAGAAATTGTCTAATCTCATCCCGAATAGCTTCAGGAACCTTTTTACAAGAAGCAACATTCCCTTTAATACTGACAAGATGTTTCTTGAATTGGTTAATACCCCCATTGGTATCTTTTTCACAAAAATTATACCATATACAATTTTTATTGTTTGGTTTCGAGTTATGACCATACTTTCAAACCGGATCACTTCTTTTAGTAGAACCAGAAATAAACATATTCAAATGACAACGATTTTGTTACTATTTTTGTTTTATAGAACTCATATATTGCTTAATCTCCACTTTGATAGCTTCAAGAACATTTTTACAAGAAGCAACATCCCCCTTAATACCGGTAAGATGTTTCTTAAACCAGTTTATGTCCCATTTTGTATCGTTTTCATAATATTTATATCTAATGCAATTTTTGTCATTTGGATTCAAGTTATATCCATATTTCCAATCCGGATCTCCACTTTGACTAGATTTTGAAGAAGGCATCTCAAAATAAAACAAGCAATCTAGAAAATAAAGTTTTGCACTTACTTTGATTGTTCGAACTCCAATCTTCCACCTTTGAGATGTTTTCTCGTGCTAAAATATTAAAAAAACCCTCTAATAGGATTAAAAAACTCCAAAACTAAATCTAATCTATCTGGATGATGTTTGGATCCATTTTCGTAACTTTGATAAACACTTCGATCCGATGAAAAACACAAAATCTAGTTTTTTTGAGGTTTCTCTCTCTCTAAAATGGATTTTTGTGGGTTACGTTTTAAATGAACCTAAACCCCACCCTTAAAAGCTTTTATTTTTCAAAAAACCTCAATAGAATAAATAAAAAGAAAGTCATTTCTGCCTTTGGGCGAGGTGCAGGCCCTGGGCGGCCACCCAGGGCTGGGCGCCTGCCTAGGCGGGTGTCGTACCACCTAGGCGGCCACCCAAGGGCCACCGCCTAGTTTTACCTGGGCATCTCCCAGGCCTTCTGGACTTCCTAGGCACTAAACCGCCCGCTTTTTGAAACAATAGATCCCCTGGATTTTGCAGGCTAAGGGAGGGAGGGAGGTAGTGAGAGAGTGAGAGGGAGAGATGGCACGGAGGGAGAGAGAGTACGAGGGGAAAGAGATAGATAGGTTGGTTAGTTGGGTTATCGAGGGAAAGAGGGAGGAGAGAGAGAGTACGCAATTAATGGTTGTGTTATTGAGAGAGAGGGGAAAGAGGCGGGGATAGAGAGTATGCAAGTAAAGAGTACGGGGACAGTAGTGTGAGACGCGGAAGGGAAAAAAGCAAATTTTAAAACATACCGTTGGATGAACTTATTTTAACCCACGCCGTCGGCATACCTCTAGCCATACACATGCCTGTTGACGGGAGTGATTCCCTATATATATATATATATTATATATATATATATATATATATATATATATAGTAAGGTAA